AAAAAAAAAAAAAGGAGGAAACAACCCACGTTTAGCCAAGATAAAATGTGATCCATCTGTACAATGGAATGTTATCCAGCCATGAAAAGGAATAAGTTCTTGGGCTGGCCTGGTGACATAGTGTTTAAGTTCGCATGCTCTGCCTCAGTGGCCCGGGGTTTGCAGGTATGGCTCTGGGTCTCGGACCTACGCACCGCTTATTAAGCCATGCTGTGGCCGCGTCCCACATATAAAGTAGAGGAAGGTGGGCCCGGATCTTAGCCCCAGGCCCATCTTCCTCAGCAAAGAGAGGAGGATTGGCAACAGATGTTAGCTCAGGGCTAATCTTCCTCACAAAAAAACAAAAGGAATAAGTTCTGACATGTGCTACAGCATGGATGAACCTTAAAAACATCATGCTAGGTGAAATGAGCCAGACCCAAAAGGACAACTTATTGTATGATTCTGCTTACATGAAATACCTAGAATAGGGAGATTGATAGAGACAGAAGGCGGATTAGAGGTTCCCAGGGACTGAGGAAGGGCATGGGGAGTTGTTGCTTAATTGGTACAGTTTCTTTTTGGGATGATGAAAAAGTTCTGGAAATAGTGGTGATGGTCACACAACATTGTGAATGTACCTAATGCCACGAATTGGACACTTGGAAATGGTTAAAATGGTCAATTTGATGTTAGTTATACTTTACTACAATAATAAAAAAAAAGAAACCCCAGCACCCTTAGCTGTCACTCCCAGTCCTCCATCCCCTAGCCCTGGGCAACCAGTAACCTACTTTCTTTCTGTCTCTTTAGGTTTGCTTATTCTGGACATTTCATATAATTGAAACTATACAATAAGTTGGTCGTTTGTGACTGGCTTCTTTCACTTAGCATAATGTTTGCAAGTTTCATCCATGTTGTAGCTTATGTCAGTACTGAATTTCTTTTTTTTGTTGTTTATTTTATTTTATTTTATTTTTTTTTATTTTTTTTTTGTGAGGAGATCAGCCCTGTGCTAACATCCGCCAATCCTCCTCTTTTTTTGCTGAGGAAGACGGCCCTGGGCTAACATCTGTACCCATCTTCCTCCACTTTATATGGGACGCCGCCACAGCATGGCCTGCCAAGCAGTGCGTCGGTGCGCGCCCGGGATCCGAACCAGCGAACCCCGGGCTGCCGCAGCGGAGCGTGCGCACTTAACCGCTTGCGCCACCGGGCTGGCCCCTGTTGTTTATTTTTTAAGACTATTTTTTTTTATTATTTTGAGTTCATAATAGTTTATAACATTGTGAAATTTCAGTTGTACATTATTATTTGTCAGTCACCATATATATGTGCCGCTGTACCCCTTTTGCCCACCCCCCAACCCCCTTCCCCTCTGGTAACCACTATTCTCTTCTCTTTATCTGTGTGTTTGTTTATCTTCTACACGTAAGTGAA